CGAATCTGAATCGTTTTGAAGCTGTTTGGGGTCTATGCTTGTATAATGTGAACGACTGACCATGGCCTTCAAAACTTTTCAGACACTGAGGCAGCGGATTGAGGCAGTTAAGAAGCACTGCCGGACCCAGCCAGAAAAACTTATGAGGCCATGTTGATCGCCCTAGAAGAGAGATCTAGAGACTTCTTTTCCACTGTCTGTTGGACAGCAAAAGTCTTTGATGAACGGTGTGGCCCAGCATGAACAACATTAAACACATAAAGCTCAAAGAAATAAACTTGTTCGACCCGAGCTGTTTAAAATATATTATTTTTTGAAGTGAAATCCAAACCAGCCCTGTGCGTAGGCGTGACACCTACCAGAAGATTATGCTCTACTATGTTGAAACGGCTGTCAAGGGCACCTTCAAGTCACTAGGTTGCAACACAACCTGACCTATAACAATTCATCCTGAACTAGCTAACTGTTCTAAGGCGAGCTTCTTCGATTCAAGTCAACCAGCGAGCACGTCTTCAGATTGAGGGCCTTGCGATGCCGCTCAGTCTGGATGGTGCCCCAGGACATACACCAGCTTGCGGCGACAGCGCAGGCCTAGCAATGTGTTCGAGACCCGTGCCATAAGATTTAAGCAATTAAACTTCTGCAGGCGATGTACACGTGGAGGATTTGACCAAGGACGAGGGCGTGGAGGATCAGGCTGGGAAGCTCCGCAAGAAGCTGGGCATTCCAGAGCTTGACCCAGACGCCCTACCTAGTGCAAACTTGAACAAATACTTGCACCTCAACTTCAACCGGTCTAGCTCCAATTTAATGGAATGGTGGCAGAATGTGAGAAGGAATGAACAAATTGTGGCAATACAATAACAGATCGATAAGTCCATGTACGCTGTGATTATTCTAAGGCAAGCGCTTGCGAAGCGCATCTCAACCACAGCTACGATGGCGGACAAGTTTCGGGACGCACAGAAACAGACAGATGTCCAGCAACGGCTGGTTCCCCAGAACATGGTTGAGCTTTGAATTACGTTCACAAAATCAATCTTGAGTATGTCAGAGTCTGAGGCTTGGAAAAGCCCTCAGGGATTCGGTGACTGACCTGGAGACAGTACACACGGATCTTGCCAAGGAATACTCGGCAGGTGTTGTGAAAGGCTTCACAAAGGAGTGCCTAGCCTAAAGCTTTCAACCTGGACATGCTTTATCGTTTCGATTGCGGGCTTGAGTAGCCAGACTTTAGACTTTAGACTGTATACTGCTGCGCATCGTGAATCGTAAACGTCTTGCCTGCTCCCAGGGATGAATGCCGGCTGAAGACCTTGATTGACAATGCGCACGAAAAGCTCTGGCCCAAGAGTCTTTGTGACACTGAGTTCTCTCTGCGGCTGATTCTAACTCTACGCATACAATTATTTTGAAGATCTAAGGGCATCGAACAGCCTTTCTTTGGAAGCTCGAGCAAGGCTTGCTTGAAGTTTCAATTCTTTCATCCTTGCTGCAAGCTACTTTTCGCAGGCCCTTTGCGCCGAAGGCTGGGAAGGATAGTAAAAGTGCCAAGGCTCCCAAAAGGAATGCTAAGTCCAAGGCAAAGCCCACCGGCAGGGGCAAAGCCAAAGCTGCCAAGGTGGAGTCGCCTGAGTCTGCTCCCAAGCGGAAGCGTGGTAAGTAGAGAGTCAGCACTTCTGCTTATGCATGGTTCTTCACGCTACCTTTAGGTGGTAGCTTGTGTAGCCACTTGTGACAGGGAGACTTTAGATCGCAGTCTCTGAGTGAGACTGAGTATTTGTTGTGTTTTGACACCTTGAGGTGTGAAGAGACTCTTATGGAATCGGATTGGTTTTGTTTTGATTTAGCAGGTGTCAACATTTGGGGGTTCTTCAATGGAAGCTGTGTGATGAACATGCAGCCAAAGTTGAATTCCGGCGGAAGGATGTTTCAATTCACTACCAATGGACGCTAAGGGATAGAAAAAATCCTGAACACTGATCGACTGAATGCAGAATAGCGCAGCAAACTCTTTTTGCTAGTGCTGTGGATGGTTTCTGAGGGGTGGTCAATCAAACCCTGGTAGACTGGTAGTGGCCAGGCTCTGGGTCAGCTTCCTCACAACCAGCTCCTGCTCCTGGTGATCTAGCCACCAACTACGCGGAGATCCTATCAGATGGGGTCCCCCTCTTAGTGATTGTCAGGTATGCTTCCTTCCCCTGGTTTTGGTGCAGCCTGTCGTGCGTCCTTAGGTTCCGGCAGCAACTCTGAGCGGCTTTGCTGCTGCAGCCAGGAAGGAGCTAGGTGGTCCTGAGCTGTCAACTTCCTCCAGTTCCAAGAATGCTTGCAGAAATGCTCATGCCTTCATTCGCAAGTGGGGTCTTAGTTGGCAGATCCCCTTCTCTTACATCGACTATGGAGATTTGAAGGTTCCATACCTCTCTCCTCAATCCTTCATGAAATTTCTTTTGAATCGAGCACCAGAACTCGTCCTGGGAGGGCAGGAAATTTCAACCGGACAGCAGTCTCTCAAAAAGTTTTGGGACACTCATGAGTCTTTCCATCCTACGCATGCAGTCTACCAGCTTCAACAACCAGAAAGAACAAGAGGAAACACTTTAGTGCTGCAGCTTCACGGAGATGAGGGCCGGGGATTGAAGAAAGGTAATACATGCGTCATCATGGTGGAGACCGTCTTGGGGCTGGACAGTTTCCAATCATCGTCCAAAAGGCAATCCAGGGCCTGCGAAGATTGCTGTTTGAGCGAGAAATCTGCAAAGCGGTGTCGGCTCGCCTCTGGCTTCAGGGAATGTTCAACCAGTGTCTCTAGCGATGACTGCCCTACACACATGCAAACAAACTACAAGTTGCACTCGTACCTGACTCGATTTGTGTTGGTTGTCCTTCCCAATCGCTTGAGCAAAGACAAGAACTTGCTCAACCTGATCTTCATTCGACTCACCGAAGACTTCAAAGAGTTGTTTGAGAAGGGTGTTGCCACACAGTCTGGGCGGTGGTTCGGGGCCCTGTTGGGGTTCAAGGGGGACCTCAAATGGTATGAGAAGATTGCTTCACTGGATCGATGCTTCAATCGGCAATTGAAGTTGGACGCTCACATGTGTCATGAGTGTTTAGCCGGCGCTCCCACGCTGCCTTTCGAGACGATCTCTCACCATCCAGCCTGGGAGGAAACAATCTATTCGCAGAGACCCTGGTCCTTTCCTCCACCTTGGGAAAGCATTCCTTTCAATGTGGACAACCAGAACCCCAAACCTGAGATGATTCTCAGACGCGATGTATTCCACAATTTCAAGCTTGGTGTTCTGCGTGATTTCACTGCTTCAGCCATCCTCCTCCTGTGCCACTTGAAGTATTTTCATGAAACGAAGACGCGTGGGTCTGGAATCAGCAACAAAATTGATGTTCTGCTAGAGCGAGCCTATCACCACTTCAGGCTTTACTGCGATACATCGAAGAGGTATCCAGCACTACATAGTTTCACCCCAATTTTCTTCAACCGTACCAAGTCTACAGACTACCCCTGGATGAACGCAAAGGGCTCTGACATAGTTCTGGTAGTGGCCTGGCTTCGGGTCTTTGTGGCAGGCCTACTTCTCAATCCACTTGCTGAAGATCACAAACATGTTTTGGCGGCCATTCAAGAGGGTGCTGCCGCAGTGGAGAATTTTCACGGAATTCTGTACACACACGGCATTTTCTTGCACAAGGAGTGTGGGGCACGTCTTCACCAAGAGCTTCACACCGCGCTGAACTGCTACAACAAGTTGGCATTCCATTCGTTGTACGGGTACTCTTTTTGTGGCTTCTCTATGAAGTCCAAGTTCCATGGAATGTGCCATACAAAACGTGATTTGCTTGTTGATCTGGAGTCAGCTACCTCTGCATATGTAATTTCACCTCTATGCTTTGCCTGTGAAGGCAACGAGGACACCATCGGGCGCATATCCCGCCTCTCTAGAAGAGTCAGTCCAAGGATCCCAAGCAAGAGAACTTTAGAATTGTATCTTGTAAAGGCGAAGATGGTTTACGATCGGTATCGTAAGCAAAGAAAGATCAATGGACAGGGGACGCCAAAGAAGTGACCGTTCTGTTCATGAGCTTTTGCACTTGCTATGGCCTACTAAGAACACTAAGAACATCTAAGAACCTTGTTTGTGGCAAATACCACCCCCTGTTGACGACTTGGCGCCCCAGCATCCACGGCATCAACGCCGACCAGAGCCGTGCACTTGAGCAGGAACAAAAGGCAGCAAAGGAGGGGCGGACACACCAAACCATTCCCAAACGACCTTTTTTTTTCCAAACGACAACTCTTGAGAGAAACGACCAAATAAAACTGAGTTTCAACCAACCACAAAAAAAGGAACACCTAGATGTTCCAGGTATATATATACATGGACCTTAGAACCTTTGGAAGACGACTTTCCTCTACAACCCGATGTGGTGAACTCAGGTTCGGACTGTGGACCTCTTCCCGGGTGTACAGAATCTTATGAATTCTGGGACCCAAAAAATACACGTTCGTGATCTGTGGTGCTTTTTGTTGTGCTCGTCGCTCTCTCTTCACAGTGGACCACCCGGTGCACCGGTGCAATCACTCATTTTCGCAAAAGGGCGAAAAGACGTGAACAGTACCCGTTTGGCCTCCAGTCGTACCTTTTGAGAAGGTGAGACTGGGGTGGGTGCCAGGAGGGTCCAGTCATACTGTCTGAGGAGGTACGACTGGAGGTGTAGGGGTATAGAAACTCCTATTTTCAGCCGTGTACCCCGTGGAAAATTCACATGGATCCTGAAAACCACTGGTCCAGCTACTTGTAAAGCAGGCAGACGACCCGGGTGCCATTCGACCCGGGATCCATGTCGAGTTGCCGGAGCGATGGACCTTCCAACGGCGCACGCCTTGTTTTGGGCTTCCCTCTGTTTGGGTCCGCCCTTCACCCCGAGGACGTCGACCAGATCTGAAGTCGTTCGTCGACGCGTTCGGCATTTCCGCGTCGACCGGATGTTCGTCGTGCGCACGACCTCGAGGAAGAAGCTGGATGAAGCGTTGTCCAAGCTCCAGGACACTCGACCCTCCGCCGTTGAGGGCGTCCATCGGGGACGGTGAGTAGACCAGCTTCATCGGCCGCGGAAACTGGAATGATTGGAGGTGGATGAAGCTGGCGCCAGTGGATTCAACGGTTTCGTATGACTCGGTTTTCCGGTGTGCAACAAAGATGGAATACCTCCCGATCCACTGCCACCGTACCTCAGAAGGTATACCACTTGGACCCTCCAAACCTACATCACCGTGTCTCCAATCACCTTCTGAGAAGGTAATTACTTGGAATCCCTAGGGCATTGGAATAGCATGAGCTCCATTCCTAGGCGCCCAGATCTGATTCGCTGGGTGGATTGGAAGAGCTCTTCCCTCACCATTGAGCTGATTGGAGATGTTAGACCATCCTCCTAAGGCGATCCCCTTGGACTATTGACCATGGTACTTGTCAGCATGGTACTTGTGAGATCAGCTCAATGGTGGAGGGAAGAATCAAGATCCACAGGCGTCCACTCCTACCAAGACTTATCAGGCCTCACGATCAAGAGCTTGACAAGTACCGTGGTCAATACTCCAAGTGAACCGCCCACAGGGGGCATGGTAAGAATGCTAATGAGGGAGTTATAAAGGCCATTCTAAGTAGGTTCGTGCGGCATCCTGGAAATGCAGGATCCCTGTGTTCGCGGAGAGGTGGAGGGACTAGAACTTTCCGTGTCAGAGTGCATTGTTTGGGGGACGCAAACTAATATACTGGAGAAGTACACCTTGCTCGGGTTGACAAAGCTGCCTTTTCCATGATGTTTTAATGTTCGTTCAATTCCACAGTACTTTTCTTTTTTGACCGTATGGCATATCTGCCCTTGCATGCTCCAGTCTCCCTCCATCAAGTTCCAGTGCAACCATCCTTGAATCAAGAAGCACAAACAGATGTTTGTGTTTCATAACATGTGGCAAGCATGCATTTTTTTGCGGGGTCATTTTCTCGTCTCTTGGTGAAACGCTCTGGGTCAAAGACATACTCCGGTTGCAGACCGGCAGAGAAGTTCTGTGCTCCAACTCCGAAAGGAATTGTATCAGATCGCCACGGACTTCGGCTTTTACCACTTGGTCCTGGTGATCGTGGACTGCAAGGGCTGGGGTGGTTTTGGGTTGGTGAGAGCTGGCAGTCCCAGATGGCAGGACCTTTAGGACGGAAATCTTGGGTATAAATGGAGCCATAAATCATTGATGGCCTTTGCAATTTTGCAATATTTTGCTCATTGGAGGATGCTAAGTAGGATGCTACATAAGACATCACATTTGAGGCTCTAAGCACATTCCTTTAAGGACCGACTACAAACAAGGTCTGTTTGGTGGGCTCTGGGAGGCGTACCCCTATGTGGCCTATACAAGTATCATTGGAAGCAGATACCTCAAGGGTATTACATATTATTACTAGAGGCTTCGAGCTGAAACAATAACCGAAGCAAAAACATGTTTGGTTCTCATTGAATGCTACCCCAGCTCCCATCTGGGTTGACCCGTGCAGGACCTGTCCTCATCTACGCAGGATTTGGACGCAGGCGTCCGGTCCGTCGGGTGGTGCACGGATTTTGGAGGGCCAGATCACTCGACGACTCGTCGCTTCATGAAACGCCACCAACGTTGGGAATTTCCCCCAAGATCGACCATCGTTGGCAAATTTCGCCCAAAACGGCCTGATGTTGTCTACTGCGTTGTCTGGAATGCCATTTCTTGGCCGGAAAACCAGCGTTGAACCTGGTAGCGGAAGGGGGAAGGTCGCAGAGAGATGGACCCGTCACCTTCCCTATATGGATCCTGACACGACCCGATGCCTTTGCAGCAAAAACCATCTCTGTTAGGGAAACACTTGTTCTTTCGAATCCCCCAATTGGTTAGACGCTGACCAGGAGTCCAGCCATCCGGGTTCATTTGCTCGGACGAATCGTTGACCCGTGTGTATCCGTATAGTGTGTAAGGTAGTGTCCCGTTTGGGATCCAGTCGTACCGAACCTCAGGTACAATGAGGATGTGTTCGGCGCTGTGATGATAACAGGTGCCAAGTCACGTCGGGTCCAGTCATACCGAACCAGGTCGGTACGGTGGCTGTGGATCCCTAGGCTGCAGAAGCTTCACCACACGTTTTCTGTCGCTCGTCCACGTTGAGGTTGCTGCGGGGATCTGGCGGGACGCTCGTTTTGGATGTGCATGTAATGAGTCATATCGACCTATCAACCTCTTTCACAATCCCTACACCTCCAAGTACCTCCTCAGAAAGTATTTGGACCCTCCAAACCCACCCCAAACACCTTCTCAAAAGGTACGACTGGAGGCCAAACGGGAATATATCTCTCAAATTCTCTGAACATCACATGGACTCTGCAGAAAGATGTAGAAAAGTCTCATGCCCCCCCCAAGAATTCATTCCAACTCATTTCAACTCCAACAGACGAGGAAACCCCACCTCGCCACTCCACCCTTCCCTTCGCCCTGGCCCCCGAAACCCCGAACCCCCCAAAACACTGGAGAAACGATGGCTACCCCCTTGTGCAAATGATTTCAGGGTGGGGGTATGTGAGCCAAATAATTTGTTCAAAATAGTTTTGACTTTGGAGGATACGTCGAGGTGGGGGTTCCATGGACCTCCAAAATAATAAACAGCTATCACTCAGAGCAACTGAAATAATTAACATACATTGATGACCATTGTAACCTCCATGCACCCAAAATAATTTTGTTAAAGAGCGCTCAAAGGATGTGCAACGTGAGGCACATAGAGACAGATTAAACCTACCTGAAAGATAAAGCAGTGAGGATTAAATATGATTTTTTTCACCAACCCCTACAGTAAACTGTTCGGGGAAAACATAGTTGCCCAAACAATACACGCTAAGACATGCTGCAATGCTATCGGGGAAAACCATCTTCGTTATCAGTTTCTTTCATTGTGCAAAACTATTTGGGGGGTGGGGGTGGTTGGCTGGGGACCCCCAAAACAAGACTGGAATGCTTTATCTTCTCAAATTTCCTTTCAAATCTTTCCTGCCATGTGTTCACAAAAGATTCTTTGAACATATTTTGTTTGAACAAATTCTGTGAAAATACTGGCTTTCCACTAATGTCCTTCAACACTCTTGAAACGTCAAGGACAGACAGGAAATGAAGGAATTTGGACAGCAAACCACTTAAACAAATGTTTTTTTTCACCAATTCTCCAAAAATCTTAAATTTCAAGAATTGCCCTCAAAACTCCTCAAACATCAAGGGAATACAGGAACTAAAGGAATTAGAGCAGGAAAATAATTATAAGAATTAAAAATTATCTAGCTACTTTTTACATCTTTTTACACTTTCTCTCCTCTCCCCTGTCTCTGTGTCTATGCCCTTAACGGGGGGAGACACAGGGAGTACGCTGGCCGTGAATGCATTGCGTTTGGGTCGGTAGCGCTCCGGACGGCGACCACGTCTCGGGCACCGCAGGCTTCGGCGCTTGGCTTCGAAGCTTCTTCCCCTTGCAGGACCGGTCCCGACCGCTCGCGACCGGTCGACCGGTTCCGACCGGTCGACCGGTTAGAACGAAGCGAGGCGACGTTCCTGACCCAGGCAGAGCCCGAGAATGAGGGGATAAGTAAATAGTACTCGCCTAGCTCTAAGGACCATTAACATCAGTTACATTAGTAAGTCTTACTTCGATCCAGTCCGGGTCGGTTTGGGAGGTTTGGCTTTGATATCGACAGTTCGTCCTGTGGGTCATGGCACCGGAGCACCCTGAACTGATTTGTCGTTTGATCTCTGGGTGTCATCCTGCCATGGTGAGGGAGGTGCCATGACGAAACTTGCCAAAGAGGAGTTAGGAGATCCATGTCGAGTCGATATGATTTATAGTTTCCCTATGGATCCACATACCTTATCAGAAAGTAATTGGACCCTCCAAGCCTACATACATAGTCTCCAATCACACTCTGAGAAGGTATGTGGATCCATAGGGTTTGATTGTCAAGAGTTCGGTGTAACATGGTGTAACTTCGTTGTGCAAGGGAACTA